CCGCCATGACAATAAACCTTTTTGGAACCAAGGACTTCCTTGTGTTACTGGGGCCTGCCGCCACCAAGGCCCTCAGGCCACTGGAACCATAGGACCTCTTCTCTAATGTGGGACCCGCCATGGCGGTGGCCTTCTTAAATTTTCCCCACACCCAGTATCCATAAACAATTATAACTCTAGTTCCAGGGGGTACAGCAGTGACTATCACTTATTATGGAGAAACTGCTGATGAGTCCTGCTTCATGGAGCTGTCTCCAATCCCATGGCTGCCAGAGGGCCTCCATTTTTGCCAGGGCTTCCCTTTTGCCAACACTTCTTTTAAGGACTCCTTCTATGTCTCCTCCCACTTTGTTCTTCTTCATTGGGTGTGGAATCCCTGTTCAGTACATGACAGGCAAGTTCTGAACTTTGACTAAATGTCACTTATTATAGAATAGGAAAAAACAGAGAACTGTATACCTGGAGATGAGGCTGTGGAAGACCAGGGTCATGGAAGATGAAACTGTGGAAGATGAGGCTGTGGAAGATGAGGCTGTGGAAGATGAGGCTGTGGAAGATGAGGCTGAGGAAGGTGAAGCTGTGGAAGATGAGGCTGTGGAAGATGAGAGCTGTGGCTTCCTGTTCTCATCCCAGAAGCTGCATGACCTTGTGCGAGTCTTTCATCTCAGCAGTTCTGTACCAGTGTTTACAAAATGAATGAGTTGGAGCAGGTGATAATCCTCTAGTTATGATTTATGCCCTACATGATCCTGAAATACTAGATAAAGTCACAGCGGGATAATTGAAGTTTTGTATAGAGACAGTTATACTTAGACAAAGATCTAGAAGTAACTTATCTGCATATCATATGCATACATATGTACACACACATATATAAATGTGAAAATTAGCTCTGATTTTTTTCTAACGATTGAGGAGTCAGAACTTTTATTATCTAACTAAAAGAAAAGTAGCATATTCTTTGGAAACTGCTTGGCATTTATTCCTATATGTATTTTTTAGCTACATATACAGCAGTAAAATTACTTAATCTTTAGAAATCTCTCCTAATTCCACTCCTTCAATGAATCTGAATCATCTTTTTGCAAAAATGCTTCACATTTTTCATTTAATCTTTTTAAGAGCTCCTGTTCTATGTTCTCATGCTGCTGCTCTATCTTTTGAGATGCTATTTTTCATGTCTATACATAGATGTCTTTGACTATTAGGTGTTTAAGTAGTACCATCCAGAATAAACAAGCAATATTGTAAACTTTTTTTTCTTAGGTGAGATATTCATTGCACAAAGTGCCAGAAAGAAAATAGTTGGGCAACAGTGGCTGCCACATCCTGTTTTTTTCTAAGCACGGAGTATTTCCCTCTCAGTAACACTGAGCTGTATCTACTGGAACAGTAAAGACTGACTGTAAGTCTATTAGGACACAACACAGAATGACGATCCTTTCCAGTTCTAAGTGGTGCTCGATAGGTCCACTGCCACGCAGAATTTGCACTGCAGAAGCAATGGGTCCTTGGAGATAGGCAGGATTAGGTAGGGGTGCTGATTCTGTGTTCTTATCTCTTCAGTGTATACAGTGTTTCTAAGCAGAGAGGAGAGGTCACTTTTTATTGACTTGGTAGTTGTCAGGTCTGAGGAACCACATGGGATGTTTAGGTAGATGACTGCCCTTATTTCCTGACCTTGGAGATCTCCCCTCCCCGACCCCCAGTGGTTGTTGAGAATTCCAATTCCAACCGTGAAGGCTGGCTGAGCTTCCAAGGTTTAAGGCTTTAAGAATGCAAATGGAGCTGAGAGTTTCCTCAGTTCCTGGATCTCAGACAGTTCGAGAGCTCAGAGTGCTGCGTTCCCCAAGTGTTTCCAGAGAAGACAGCCTGGGGGAGAGGAAGTGGTGCTAATTAAATCCTCCCTCTGTTTTCCAGGCACAGGAGCCTTGAGCAGATGTCTGTTGTTAGTGTGTTCACAGAGTGCACAAATACAGAAGCAGGCTTCCCTTCCCAGTGACACAAACCTTCCTTCATGAGAACTTTGGAAATGTGTTTCCTTCCAACACCCACTGTAAAGGAGGTGCCAATCCTCATGCATAGAGTACAGAACTGCTACCAAGGCCAAAGGGTGCCTGTCTCTTGGTCTATCTGTCTCTCTCTGTCTCTCTGTCTCTTGTTTGCCTTTCTCTGTCTCTTTGTTTATCTCCTTCTTCCCTCCCTCTCTCCCTCACACCCTTCTTTTCTCCCTCCCTCTCTCCCCCTTCTCTCCCTCCCTTCTTTCCCCCTCCCTTCTTCCTCTGGTCCCCTTCTCCTGCTTCTCCATACCTTTTATTCTCAAAAGCCAATTCCAGCCTTTGTGTACCTGCCTTTAAAACATTATGTGAAAAGTCAAAGAAGACCTATGGTGGGTAAGCTGGACTCAAAAGCATGTCAATAATTACTCCCAATTATGCCCTAGGTGGTACCTCCCTACTCTGCATCTTCAGAAGGATGTGTAGGGAGTAAACAAGACTGTGACTGCCGGGGTTGTAAGATCAGCTAAGATAAAATGGAATGGGAGCTGTATAAGGCAATCCACAAGTTTAACCACCTGTATTTTCTACTGAATTCAACCTCCTCAACGTGCCATCCACAGTTTCCAGAGATGGTTCTGTTTACTCCTACCACCCTGACACAACTTCTAATAGCATCATCTTATGCCAAAATACTTGGATTTAGACAATGCACTTGCGTTACTTTAGGTGGAGAAATGTGAACAAGGTCTATTTACCTCCAACAGGGCACCGACAGCTGACCAAATAAATGATTCAGAACAAGCCTACTACCATAGTGAAGTTAATTGGGATGATTGCCTACAGTAGCATAGGGAGGTTTTACTTAACAGAAGGATAGTTGACTCAAAGGCACCTGCATCATCAAAGCTTACCCTAGCAGGAAAGCACAACCCTGGAGCTCTGTGCAGAACTTGCAAGTTGCTTGGCTGGCTGGAGGCTCCCCTCCTCTCCCCCCCAGCCCTTGTTCCTGCTTATAAAACCTTGGCTAGGAGTCTTGTGACTCCTGTAAGTTGCTGAGCTTCCTCAGCTTTGGCTGTGTGAGCTTCTCTCCTTCCTCCCACAGATAATATTTCAATTAGGAGGAAAGGGCTCTCTACAACAGAGTGCGATCATGCTATTTTTACCTCTCTTGAATGTTCTGGTTTGTCTCAATTTTAAGGGTGAAAATATGCTGGCAAACTAGGCTTCCCCCACCCCACTTTCTGGCATTTCACAGGAACGGAGGAAATGGAATTAAAACCGCCTTTTAGTTGATTAAAGACATAGAAGCAGCTCTGAGACGAAGACGTCCCTCCTAATGGTGAACCTAGGCATGAAGCCTGCTTGCAGGACACATTAGTAACTGGCCTCCTGTAGGGATGATTGGATGATTGGACAAAGTTCCTAGGCGTAGGCAATGTCCTCATGTGGCTTTCATACTTTGCTAGAAAACAGCACTAGATCAATCAGGCAGACTTTTCACAGGCCTGCATGGGCCTTCTATTTTGTCCTTATAAACAAAGCAAAACAAGATAAGACACTTCACAAATAGAAATCAAGTTGTTGTTTTTATTTAAATGCTAAATGATTATCTTGTTAGTACCCAGGGACACAGAAACTGAATTGAGAGAAGTACCCACAACATCATTATGAAGACAGAACTACTTTTAACATTTTATTTTTTTCAGCTTCAAGTAGTAGCCATTTTTATACGTATACTCATAGGAAACGACACGTGTAAAATTTCCTTTCTTTCTCTATGAATGATTTTAAGACTTAAGAGCAATATAACTGTGTGATAACTTTCTTTTTCCATAAGATATATTTTAGACATCTTCTTATGATAAAATATATATTCATATTTTAAGAGGGGCACTGTATTTGACATACATTTCATTTTATATTAAATGCAAGGCTTTGTGAATGCTTAATATTACTATTTATTATATACAGTATTTCTCTACTAAACATAATGGTGTTATCAAAGAATGTATGCAGTGTGATACAAGGTTATAAGTATGTGTGTGTGTGTGTGTGTGTGTGTGTCTATGGACATTTTTCTGAACCGTTTTCTTAAAATAAAATGTTAGAATTGGAATATTTGATTTGAAACTATGACAATTTCAGGTGGTTTATATTCTATTATTGTTCTGTTGCTGTGAAGAGACATCATGGCCTTGACAACTCTTTTAAGAGGAAGCATTTAATTGGAGGCTCACTTACAGTTTAAGAGATCTAGTCCATTCCCATCATGGTAGACAGCATGGGAGCACACAGACACATATGGTCCTGGAGAAGTAGCTGAGAGTTCTACATCATATCCACAGACACAAGGAAGAGAGAGGCACCTGACATGGCTTGGACATCTCAAACCTCAAAGCCCACCCCTAATGACACTTCCTCCATTAAAGCAACACCTACCCCAACAAGTCCACACCTCCTAATCCTTCTCAGGTTGTGCCACTCCCTGGTGGCCAAGAATTCAATAATATGAGCCTATGGGGGTCATCCTTACTCAAACCACATACGTTCTCACACCAATCCCTGGAGCTGATCAGGAGATACGTTCTCATTGCTTTTCACTCTTAAATACATACCAGGTAGGTAGAGTTTTAGACAAAAATGCCAGGAAATCACGAAGCTGAATTACCTGGCACTAATTTCATGCTACATTTCCTATGATCAGTTTATGTTCCGGTACTAAAGTTGAGGAAATGAAGTGATTCACAGCCTCATTTTCTCAGTCCTGAGAGTCTCTACTTCTCTCCCCCGGAGAAGGCCCTGCACATGGGTGACATGTAGATGTCTGTGATCCTGCACTATCCACTGGTGCCTCTGTCCAATCAAAGTATGACTGTTTCCATTTGGGGAAGATCTTTTGCTCCTCCTTGTAACCTGTTTTTCCATAGCCAGCATATGGGTGGGATGCTTTATCATTTAATGAAAAGGTTATAATTTCATTGTTTTAGGCTAAAAAAAAAAATGTCAACAATTGGGAGCTTTGAAGGATTCCAGCCCGTGTCTCTGAAGCAAGAGGAAGAGGACCAACCCTCAGAAAATGACCACTTGTCTACAAAGGAGGGGAACTCGGGCAAGGATCCAGGACCAAGGAAGATTTCAAGACAGCAGAGTATGACAAAAGCAACACTGTACCCCAATCCTTATCACCAGCCCTATGTTTCACGGAAGTACTTTGTTACACGGGTAAAATTACAATTTCAGTTCTATTCAAAATTTCTTTTGAAATCTTACTACCTTCTCTGTACTGTGTTTTGCCAAGGGTTACATGTCTTATAAAACTCTTAATAGTCACCATGATCCTCATGTAGTTTTCTTTATTCCCATTGTATGGATGAATGGTGTAAACTTCAGAGTAGCCAGAACCATCAACTTTTATCTCTCAGACAGCATCAAGATGGTACAGTTTCTGTGGTCTCTATATGTTTGGGCTTCACTCCTGTGGGAATATATAATCTGACCTCAAAGAATTAATGCTTAATAGCTAGTGAGCATGTAGTATAGTAGCTAGAAGGTAAAGCTATGAGCTCATTGTTTTAGAAAGAAATAGACTGTGAAGTAGAGTATGCTGCTGAGGCTGACCTGAATCTCAGGATGGATTCTGGGATAGTGGTGTTACCATGGGAGCAAAGATTTGAAATTGAAACTCTGTCTGCAGTTGCAGTGTGGGGCTCAGAGTTCTTACTTGAGCGTTGGAGCCAGAAAAGTAAATGGACAGTAAACTCCAGACTAGCTAGCTTGAAAGCTTCTGACCAATTCTTGCCTATCTACATCTTACCTCACAACAAAAGTTTTGG